CAGTAAGGCATAAAAATGTCAAAAAACATCATACTATAGTACGGCATAAAATTGTTAAAAACATCATAGTATAGTAAGGCACAAAACGTCATTACAGTAAGGCATAAAAATGTAAAAAAAAAAAAAATGTCATAGTAAAATAAGGCATCAAATGTCATAGTATAGTAAGGCATAAAAATGGCATAAAACATCATAGTAAAGTAAGGCATCAAATGTCATAGTATAGTAAGGCATAAATATGTCAAAAAAGTCATAGTATAGTAAGGCAGAAAAAGTGATATAAATTTAATTCTATAGTAAGGAATAAAAATGTCAAAAAACGTCACAGTATAGTAAGGCATAAAACTTCATAGTATAGTAAGGTATAAAAATGTCAAAAACGTCACAGTATAGTAAGGCATAAAACTTCACAGTATAGTAAGGCATAAAACTTCACAGTATAGTAAGGCATAAAAAGTCTTTGCATAGTAAGTGATAAAAAAAAATCATAGTATTGTAAGGCATAAATCATCATAGTATAGTAAGGCATAAAATGGCAAAAAATGTCATTATATAGTAAGGCATGAAAATGGCAAAAAACATCATAGTAAAGTAAGGCATCAAATGTCACAGTATAGTAAGGCATAAAAATGTCAATAACATCACAGTATAGTAAGGCAAAAAAATGTTAAAAAAATGTCACAGTATAGTAAGGCATAAAATGTCATAGTATAGTAAGGCATAAAAATATCAAAAAATGTCATAGTATAGTAAGGCATAGAAATGTCAAAAAATGTCATAGTATAGTAAGGCATAAATATGTCAAAAAAGTCATAGTATAGTAAGGCAGAAAAAGTGATATAAATTTAATTCTATAGTAAGGAATAAAAATGTCAAAAAACGTCACAGTATAGTAAGGCAAAAAAATGTTAAAAAAATGTCATAGTATAGTAAGGCATCAAATGTCATGGTATAGTATGGCATAAAAATGACATAAAATGTCATAGTATAGTATGGCATAGAAATGTCAAAAAAAGTCATAGTATAGTAAGGCAAAAAAAGTGATAAAAATGTAATTCTATAGTAAGAAATAAAAATGTCAAAAAATGTCACAGTATAGTAAGGCATAAAACTTCATAGTATAGTAAGGCATAAAAAGTCTTTGCATAGTAAGTGATAAAAAAAAATCATAGTATTGTAAGGCATAAATCATCATAGTATAGTAAGGCATAAAATGGCAAAAAATGTCATTATATAGTAAGGCATGAAAATGGCAAAAAACATCATAGTAAAGTAAGGCATCAAATGTCACAGTATAGTAAGGCATAAAAATGTCAATAACATCACAGTATAGTAAGGCAAAAAAATGTTAAAAAAATGTCACAGTATAGTAAGGCATAAAAATGTCAATAACATCACAGTATAGTAAGGCAAAAAAATGTTAAAAAAATGTCATAGTATAGTAAGGCATAGAAATGTCAAAAAATGTCATAGTATAGTAAGGCATAAATATGTCAAAAAAGTCATAGTATAGTAAGGCAGAAAAAGTGATATAAATTTAATTCTATAGTAAGGAATAAAAATGTCAAAAAACGTCACAGTATAGTAAGGCAAAAAAATGTTAAAAAAATGTCATAGTATAGTAAGGCATCAAATGTCATGGTATAGTATGGCATAAAAATGACATAAAATGTCATAGTATAGTATGGCATAGAAATGTCAAAAAACATCATAGTAGAGGTATAAAATGTGATAAAAATGTCATAGTAAGGTATAAAAACGTCTAAGTACAGTAAGGCATAAAAATTTCAAAAAATAATTATGCAGTCTAGTTAGTAACTAGTCTAGTGTAGTTAGTTAGTGATATTATAGTGACATATACAAAGTTATTGTATAGTAAGGCATAAAAAAGCCATTTTATAGTTAGGCATAAAAAAGACAGTTAAAGTTGCCAATTAACCTAAAGTGCATGTCTTTGGACTGTGGGAGGAAGCCAGAGTACCTGGAGAAAACCCACACAAGCACAGGGAGAACAATCAAACTCCACACACACCTCTTGTGTGTGGAGTTTGATTGTTCTCCCCCAGGCCAGGGTTCATATCCAGAACCTTCTCACTGTGATGCGATAGTTCTAACCACTGCTCCACCAATAAATAAATCATTGTATAGTAAAGCATTAAAACATCATAGTAGTGTAGGTATAAAAACGTCATAACCCTTACAACCCTTTCATTTCTTCTCAGTTTGTACATAAGTTTGAATTCTTTCATTTTTGATTTGTTTGTAGATAGGCTTTAACTTTTTATTTTCTTTGTAGTTGGTTGATAAATTTCCTTCTTTAAAAAAACAAAAAAAAATTGTTTGTTTAGTTAAATTGGTTGTAAAACAACAAGGAACTTTTCACATGACAGATAGAAGGAAGAAAGTACAGTGGTGTCATGTAATCTTATTATTATGTGTTGCACTGTGCACTGTGTGTCTGAGGTAAAAGGTTTGAACCTGTTAGGCCAGAAGGCATTTTGACATCCCATCTGAACCTATTTTCAATCATTCTGAGTATCTGAACCACCAGACAGTTGGTGTGTCAGAAAGTCAGTGGTCTGAAGTTGCCTAATTCTCTATTGTATCCTTTTCTTTTTGGAGTTAAAATTTTCTCAGAAAGTGCTGACTTGGACCACAAGAGGTCAGGAGTGCAAAGTATTAAAGAGGTCTGATGATAATTTAAGAATCTGACAAGTCTGAACTCCTTTGCGCAGTTCAAGTCCAAGCTGAGCTTTAATATATACATATTAATAATGAAGGACATGAATATCATTGTATAACAGAGTCATATAACAGAGTCACAGGCTGAAATGTCCATAACACACCTTGTCAACCCCACTCATTATCACTGTCATTTTGATACAAAGATGTATTTATAGAATTTGACCAATACACAGTAGTTCAGACACTGTACTGAGTTTATTGGAGCATGTATGAAAACTTGAAAACTGTGCACTCCTGAAATCTATTAAAATTTTAATTAGCTGTCTGACCATTTCCACTGGTTCACATGTACAAAAATATTAAGAAACAAGGCAACATTTAGAGTTATGCAAGTCCTTGAGTCATGACGTTGCAATGTGAACAATAGTAAACATATCTGGATGGAGCATTGTGAAAGGGTTAGAGTATATTCATTTCTAAATAATAAGATTACTTATTTAATCAATGACGGAGGTTACATCAACATGTTTGTTTTGTTTTGTGTAAAAAATATAGATTATTTGACGATTGATGATGATTGATGATTGATTGATGAAAAATTGACTTTTATATTACTGTGGCAGCATTTCAAAGCACTTGAAATTTACTCATTTACTTTAGGACATTTAACTGTAGAGCTATGACAGGCAAAAACCCCTGACACTTTTTTCTCTGTAACCTGAGATTACACATCACCCGAGTCCTGAGGGTCTATTGCAGAACTTACACCTCCCAGACATTTAGTAGTAACAGCAGTGACATGGGTTTCCTACAAATTTCACCTGATCCTCAGTATGGCTTTGTGTGTGAGATGGTGAGAAAGGGAAGGAGAAAGAGAGGGTGTGTGTCTATGCATTGTGCATGTGATCATGTGTGGGCAGGCAAAATGCATCTAAGTCTATAGATGCTTGTGTGTATTTCAAGAACCTTATTGTTGTGTGTTGTGTTATACCCAATTCAGGCAGACTTGAATGTACACCATTTACGTAAGTAAGTAAAGTAAGTAAAAAAATACAACATAACATACAACATAATATGTGTATTCATATTGATAATAACAATCTGATTATATGATACTGTGAACTTTGAGGACATTTTGCTGGTAATACTTTACTCATACTTAAGTCAAATTTTTAATACAGTACTTACCTCTACTGAGAAAAAATCTGAGTACTCCATCCACCACTGCCCCACTTCAAATCAAAACAAATCTGTTGATCAATTTATATTTTATTTTCAAAAACCAACATTATACCAGTTTGGCCTTTAAACTGCCAGAAAGTGTGTCATTGACTGTCCTGCCAATATTTTCTTGCAGCTAGATTGGTGAGTAAAACTTACTTTGATCCCTCTTTAAGTAAAACAGAGCTATTTCAGATAGTTTGCCTGAACAGACCACCATCATACAAATGACTGACCTACATTAAGAAAAAATTGTCTTGAAAGCACAAAGTTACAAAGTTTGATAGTGCTGCCTGATTGTGTCTTTGCAACTTAAAGATTTGTGACAATGTTTTCCAATGTGGTAGCCAAGGGACTAAACCAAGATAAGAAATCAGTGACTTTGCTGACATAGTAAAGCCCAGTCTCTAACAAGTAGGCCACTCATAGTTATCTCTGTTACCAAGTCATTACATAACACACACACACACACACACACACACACACACACACACACACACACACACACACACACACACACACACACACACGCCTTTGGTAAACTTAACTTAGGATCAAATGACAGTAGTTCACAACAGGTCAAACTTTGGATCCTATAGCCCAACATCTAAATACATCACTGGAGAAGTAGGCCAGGCACAAACAGAGAGTTACAGCCACATTAGGGTACATTCTGTCATATGTAAAGCAGCAGGGGCAGGTGTGACAGCTCAGTCTTGCAGCATTCGTAGAAACAGGACATGGGAACTGAGCATAACAGCAGGTGGCCACTCCGTTTGTTTTCATATGCAGCCTGAGTAAACCAGCATTATTGATACAGGTGTATTTTATTGCTGGTTGACTTATAGTGATGATCGCAGCAAAAAAAAAAAAAAAAGATTTTTTTTTTTTTTAAGTATTAGCTTACAGGAATACATTGTTTCCATTAAAATGCATTATTCCATAGGCAATACCTGATAGACACGTCTAGACCAATAGGATTTCACGTTGGGATTTCTAAAGTGGAACTCTTGTTTCCTATTGGTTGTCTGGGCGAACATAGGCGGGGTTAAACAAGTGCTTTACCAAAACAAGCCCAGTGCGTGCACCGACACGAGCGAAAGAGGAGTTGGGAGCGGAGGAAAAGTCTATGCAGTCAGAAAGTTTGGAGGAGAAATAAGCGAATGGACACAACACGCCAAGCACGACTCTAAGCTAACAGCAAAAACTCAGCTGGGGCGTCAGGTAGGAAAAGTGTCACTGTATACAGCTGTTATTACACCTCAAATTCTTGTCCACAGAAGTTGTAATGTAGCGAAATGCATGTAAATAATGAACAAGCCCGTACTTGAAATTCGTGTTTTAAACCTGTTAGCGTTGGCTTTTGCTATAGAAAGTTGTGTTTTCTTTTGGGGGTTGCGGGGGTCTGTGGTTTCTGGCCTCCGCAAAATGACCTTGCAACATCTTGGGGGTTTGCGGGGAACGGAAAAAGAAACTGATGAAAATAAGAGGTGGTCCCATTCTGTAGTCCCACACATGACCTAAAATATTGCAACCTATAAGATGCTATTGCAGGTGTAGGAAAGTGCACCGAGGATGGCAGTTGGGGTACAGTCTCCAAATACATTTCAATGTGTAAACACATGCAACAAAATAAGAAAACAGAAGAGGGGATAAAAGCCAAAGCTCACCAGAAACCCAGAAGGATCAGTGCTAAACATAAAAATAAAAAACAACAGCCTTAGAGAGTATTTCCAAATTCGCTCAACATCTCTGTATCACAGAACCAGCTGCAAGTATCCACTGTGAAATTCAAAGAGCTGGTATTTATGACATGGCTTTCATTTGGAGGCTTGCTTGTATCCAGGGCCACCAAAAGGCATCAGCTGGTGTTGGACTGCTGAAAGACAGAAAAGGGGGGATCTGGTCTGGCAATTATTTATTTTAACCTTTTTTTTTTGTCCTGTGCCAGGATTGGTTTATGCCGTCCCTTGGGAAAAAACTAAACTGGGTGCTTTGGTGGTTACTCTGAATAATAATTAGGTCTGATTTTTCTGAATTTGAAGCTGAACAGCACACTGTTCCCCCATGATATTCCTGTATCCATAGCTAAACGACATGCATGCTGCGCAAGAATTAACTGAAATTTCATAAGTGGGTACATAAAAAAGGGGCGTTTTCCAAAGTGAAGTATAATTGATAGCACTGGCGTCTTAATATAAGACAATGATTTCCACCCTCTTCACCTCAAAATGACTGGAAAGTTTCCAAGAAGAATGATGCAGTATTCATCAACTCACAGTTCAGGTCTGGTTTGACAACATTTTAATATCGATGTGCAAATGATTGGGCTTAATGTGTTGGTGTGTATCTGTTTTTCCTAGGCCTACCGTTTAATGGTGGTTGACAATGGACCCCAACAGTGAGACCAAGAAGATGACCTCTTGCCTCCCAGGCAACCCAGAGACCCAGACACTGGCCCCACCCAGAGGCCCAGGTAGAGTAACATTTTTTAATGATGTATAATAAAATGTTGTTTTTTTTATTTAATGTGAATACATGCCTAAGCCATAGGCGTGTCTGTGTTTTTGTGAGAGATTGCATTTTACACAGTTTAAATGTCTAGGGATGTTTCTTGATTTTTTTTAATGCGGGCACAATGGGCACCTCCCTACAGATTACAGTCCCTGGCTTCCTCCACCAAGCCCCCATAAACACTTGAGGCTAATGTAAAACTTGATTATACTGAAAATCAGTATTTGTTGAATGGTAACCTTTGGCCTGTTCCAGGAAGCAGCTTAACATAGTTATTTAGATAACTTTCCGAGTACACCTCCCACAAATCTGGAACTTGGACTAATGTAAAAAGAATCCTGCTCTGAGTTCTGCTCAGCAAAGTCATCCAGTTAACTCAGTAAACCTGAGGCCTGTACTATGAAGCAAGTCCAACATACCCAGAATATATTTTCGTTATTTGGCTTCACTGAACCTAACATTGGCCATCCTTTTTAATCTGTACTACGAAGCTGGCTATGATGTTGTTAACCATAAGCAACATCATCAGAACCATGAATAGACTACTTAATATAATATGAGAAGAAACACTGATACTTGGTAAATTCGATTGTAGCCGCATCCAAAAGTGGCATTCAACAAGGTCAAATATAAACAAACTATAATTGAAAAGAAACATTAGAAATAATTACGTGTTATTAAAGCCAGGGTATACTAAGGATATACTGTAAACAAGCACAGGAATTATTATTACATTTCTTACTGAGTCAGTATTTCTGCTCTTTTGTCTGATGATGAACAAACTGCCAAAGCAGAGAGAAGAAGTTAAGTCTGATGAGGTCAATCTGACCGAAATGTTCATTTATAATTATGGGAAATATTTAACAGTATATGGATAATTTTTCTAATAAAAGACATCAGAGGGTTTAGTTTTTATTTCCAGTTATCGTCACGATTCTCCTCAAGTTATTCTGTGCTGCAGTGATGGAACAGTGTAATAGATCAAAAATCAACACTGTCATGAATCCTGTTGGGGTTAAAGGATTTTTGTCCAAGTGTATGATAAAGTCTCCCTGCTTTTGTTAGAAGCTCTGTTTTAAAACCAGAATGGACACATGCAAGGTCTGGAACAGCAAAATGGTTCGACTGATTAATAAAAATATCTGTTGAGCTTTATTATTTGTCACTTATTTTTACACACAACTCTTTTGCTCCCGTCAGGATCCTGTAGAAATAATGACTCAGTTTTTCCAGTAATCTGACTGGTCTGTAGTTGGACTGTTGACAGGTTTTTATCTGATCCTCTGAAGTTAAACTCCTCCGGAGTTCAGCATAAATAACCATGGGGATTTACCTCGGTAAGAGGTGAATCATCGCCGTAACCCTGAAAACCCACAGTTAAACCTCAAACAACCTGATAATCTCAAGACCTCAAATCCTGCTTCATAGCACAGTGATGTTTTCTGCATGTGTAACTTCTTCACATCAGGTGTTTCTCAAACTCTGATTAATGATGAAGCCAAAAGTTGTTTATGAGTGCTTTTATGCTCGCGTGCAGGTCACTCTGACCTTGGTGGCACAATACCAAAAATGTGACACGGACTGATCACAGAAAACCTGTCCAGCACCTGTCCAGAAAATGTTCATCTAATAAGTTATCTTTTAAGTTTGTTTTCAGTATGAGCTCAATAGATGACCTGGATGGTTAGATTTACACTATTTCCTTGCACACAAGCATTTCCTGGGGCAAAAACCTTTCTGGACAAAAGCCTGTTCATCTGCCAACCTGCATTTTGAAAATACTACAGTGTTAATTAAATTACTTTTTGTCTTGCTGATAATTGTGATCAGGGTTTAAACTAATTGGCTGCACCCACAAGTCTGTGACTTTCTGCACATTGTTGCCTTGTCCAGCCAAAACAAAGCTCCAATTTGGACTTGGATAGGGTCACAGCTGCTGAAGTATGATATTACCAAATATACAAACATGGTATGAAACACTTTGCCTCATTCAAAATGTGTCTGCTTTGATTGGACTTAATTGATGCTGAAAAACAACATTTCCCAATAGTGGTAGTAGTAGTCTCCAGCTACATTAGATAATAATAATATGTGTCTTTTTGTATTTTAAGGTACACCAGCACATGCTTAAAAACAAAAACCTTATGGATTAAACACAGTATAGAGACCCACTGCAAAACATCCAGTGCATAGTTAACATTTTAACATTAACATTTTCAATATTTCATTACCATTATTAGATAATGCCACTTGTAGAAAAAGATTACTGCAGCTTGCAGCTGTGGCTCTTTTTCGCTTGCTTGTGGCACCATGATAATTAAATACGAAAAAAAGAATAGTGTTTTACTAAAATGATTATCAGGATTATGGCAGTTAAATACGTTAGCATTTACACATCCTATTAAAAACTGCCCTAGCAGGTTTAAATAACAACAACTCAGAGTGGTTGAAGGTAATATACATGTGGAAGTTAACAGCAGTTACAAGGATGATTAATGGTGTCGTTTATGACTGCTTGTGTCAATAGCAAATAAAAGGTTCTGAATATTAAAGTAGCTGTGGATTCATACATTTGAAAATGATCATATCTGTGTCTGTATGCTGAGCTCATCGCATTTCTGTTTGTTCTTTACCTATCTATCTTGCTTTAATGATAAGGAATTTCTGTTAACTCACAGCGATACATGCAAGACAGTGCATGTAGGCAATGCACATCTTACACACACACACACACACACACACACACACACACACACGCACACACACACATACAATCGCTTACAAGATTGCTTCAGCATTCCTCCTGTGAACCTCCGACCTCTAATTCCACACAGTCAGCACTGTTAAGGCAACTTCGTGGTTGGGGGAAACCTGCAGGGAGAAAAGCTGTGATCCAGCCAGAAGTTCTTGGAAAACATTTTTTTTTAAATATTGCAATTATTTATTGATGCTATGGCCTTTTACCTTGTCCCCCCACTGACATCATGCTGTTAGTGGCAGTAACCAAATCCTCCATTCCCCTCTGCCTTTTTTTCATGCACCTTTTCTGCCATTGTGGAATAGCTTTTCCCTATGTACTACAGTGTTACTCTTTGGTAACTTATTGCTGACATAGGTGCTTTTAACTCAAAGCCAACTCGGCGCCCCACGCCCAAACAAAGAATGCAGTCCATTTTCTATCTCATCCAGTGTTATTCTTGTAATCCTTATTGTAATGTAATTAATTCCCTTCACTGGGGCTTTTATTAGTCAGTTGACAACGGATAGAACCAGTAACACAATTTACATTTGACATGTATACATGCTGCCCCACTCCTCCTGCTGCATGTCATCTTAACCTGATTATAACAGCTGCATACAAGATCATCTGCTGCTTTACAACATGACTAGTTGTAAACAAGCACACAGTACTTGTTTGATCACCAGAGGGAACAAATAGTCATCTTGTTGACCTCACTCCGGGGAGGTCATAGCAGAAGGTCAGCAGTACAACATAATAAAACCTTCTGAATCTGAAAGAGACACTAAGCGTGACGCTGGCTAACCTTGCATCCTTGCCGAATATATATTTTACATATTTTGCTCCTATTATTGATCAGTTTTGTTAAATTCTAAGATCAGATGGAATCATCTTATTTGCTGACAGTTAGTTTGCTGCTATGTTCATTCTCCTGTTTTTCCTTCTCCATTCCATTTCCATTTTCCTGTCATTGTCCATGTTTTTGTAAATGAGACCGACGTTTAGGCCTACCGGAATGGCTGGCCAATGTTTACCAAAGGGACAATGCTTCTGTCTCTCAGTTTCACACAGTTTAGCATATTGAGACTAGCCAATGTAAACAATGCAGGTTGCAAAATATTAAAAAATCTGCTTGGCAAAAACAAACTCATCACTCTATAAAGATAAACAAAACTAAGGGTGTTGTTCTTGGGAAAATGTGGCTAAATATATAAGTCCTTGAGGTTGGACATTGGGATAAGGCCTTTGGTTGGGTAGCTGATATCTTTAAGTGTATTCGCTGACTCTGTGTTTGTGTCCCTCTCTCCAGGCTGCAGCTGGCTGGTGGTGGTAGCAGCTGTAGCAGCCTCTTTGAGTGGCCTGATGCTGGGCTATGAAATGGGCCTGACCTCTGGGGTCCTGCTGCAGCTGCGCGGCATTCTCTCTCTCTCCTGCCGGGAACAGGAACTGCTGGTCAGCTCCCACCTGCTCGGCGCACTCCTCATCTGCCTCGCCGGAGGTCCCATACTGGATCGCTACGGCCGCCGCTGCTCTTTGCTCCTGAGCGCCGCCCTGGTGGTTGCAGGGACTGTCGTGCTCATTGCTGTGACTTCGCTTGTCGCACTGACACTGGGCCGAGTGATAGTCGGCATGGGAACGGCGCTGTCAGGGACAGCAGCGTGTCTGTACATTGCAGAGATCTCACCGAGGGAGAGGAGGGGTCTGCTGGTGACACTGTACGAGTTGATGTTGGTTGTGGGTGTTATGCTGGGATTCAGCTGCAGTTACGCCTTTGCTACTCTGCCCCATGGCTGGGCGTATACATTTGGACTAGTGATCCCCCCAGCGCTGCTCCAAATAGGTGCACTTGTGTTCCTCCCACCCAGTCCACGCTTCCTGGTCACTCAGGGTAAGGTGGAGCAGGCCAGGATAGTGCTGGCCAGACTGAGAGGTGGGGTTAAGGAGCATGTAGAGGTGGAGCTCAGGGACATCCAGACTGGACTTAAAGAGGAATCGGAGCACAGCTTCTGGGAGTTGTTCAGTGCCAAGGCCAACCTGCGTTCACGGCTGCTAACAGGTGTAGCTTTAGTTTTCCTCCAGCAGGCTACTGGTCAGCCTAACATCCTCTCCTATGCTTCACCACTTCTCCGCAGTGTAGGCTTCAACAGCGATGCTGCAGCAACCTTGGCCTCCACAGGGTTCGGAGTGGTCAAAGTAGTCGGCACGATCCCTGCTGTGTTGCTGGTCGACCGTGTTGGACCTAAGAGCTTTTTGTGTGTGGGTGCTGTCGCAATGGGAATGTCCCTAGCTGTACTCGGAACACTGACACTGCAAAGCCACACTCACCTCACCAGCCTGTGTAAAAGTCACACTATACTAAACCACACACAAACGCAGTGGGATTTAAACAGAACCTCTACAGACTTGGACGACAGTGACATTTTTTCTACTCACCTCCCCAGCCATTGGATCACTGAGGAGGCACAGAGGACTAACAGAGAGGATGCTGGGATTAGGGAGTCAGGGGGAGGAAGGACTGGTGTAGAAGTGTCTTCCACACTGAAGTGGGCGTCATTGATCAGTTTGCTGGTGTATGTGGCAGCTTTCTCCATTAGCCTCGGTCCAAGTAAGCACCCACTGTTTCAGGTTTATTCACCCACTCCTTTTGCACACCCATGTACACGTATAAGAATTTATCTTTGCATGTCTCTCATGCCTTAGTATTTTGACAAACCTGTTTAACGGATTGTTAACCAAAAGTAGAGCAGGTCATATCTGCTGTATACTCAATATAGAAGAGCAGCTATAACCATTATGCACTTACAGGAACTTACAAGTACTTAGAAGTTACTTGAAGTACAGAGTGCAACAGTGGGTATCACACAATAACAAGGCTTACCTTAAGTATAGATTGAAATACTTCAGTTCCCCAGATAAAGCAGTGTGAACCCTGACTTCAAAGCTTCAGACATTCACTATATATCCTTACACAAAAATATGAAAATTGTGCAAAGCTATTATAGATCATGTTATTTCTGTCGATACCTTTTTAACCATCACTTCTTATTTCCTTATATACGTGTCATTGTTTTCTTTCCTTTCCAGTGGTGTATGTGGTTCTCAGCGAGATCTTTCCAATGGGAGTCAGAGGCAGGGCTGTGTCTGTGGTGTCGGCTGTAAACTGGGCCACGAACCTGCTCATCTCCATGACCTTCCTCACATGTACCGGTGTGTGTGTGTGTGTGTGTGTGTTCAATAGTAGATAACACAAGTCTTTCTGTTCTGCAAATAATAATTTCAGGTGAACAATCATTTTAACGACACAGGTTTTTTTCATCTCTTGTCCAGGACAAAGAGAGTTGAATGTATGTAACGTTTGCGACAACAACCAGCAAACTCTGTATTGTTTATAGCCAGGGAACATGTTTCATTGGTTTATGCCCTGAAAAAACAAAGGTGTGTCTCACATGTTCCTGCCACTAGTCAATCAGACTATATCAGTCATAATACTGTAGGATAAACAACTAAGACTCAAATATTGAATATTTGATCTACATATGATTTTAGCCAAGGCATAACTTTGCCAGTCATGATTTTTTTATTTCATTCTTGTCTATCTTGTACATCTAACTGTCACAATAAGTAGGTTCTAGCAAGCTAAACACATATGTTTGCAGACTGAGGTTATGTGCAGACATTTCTATCTATTTCTTTGCTGTTGTTTTTCTAGAAAAGATTGGAGTTCCCAATGTGATGTTCATCTACGCTGCCATGAGCTTTGTTCTACTGGTGTTTGTCATCCTCTGTGTTCCTGAGACCAAAGGTCGCACGCTGGAGGAGATTTCAAAAGAACTAGCCAAGAAGTGAGTGTCAGCTGACACGTGACTTAAATGTCATCAATTGCTCTTTTAAACTAGTTTAAATCATTCTCTTTATCTTCCGTCTCCTCTCTCTCTGCTTTACCAGGAAGCATTTCAAGGTGAGTCTCTTTAGGCAGGTTCAGCCTCAGGAGAGTCTGATCAGCAGCATCACGTCCACAGAGATGCCAGCGAACAGCTGAGTCCTTTACCGTGCCACAACTGTACACCTCACCGGAAGGGCAGTCAAGAACAATCATCAAGAAAGACATTGTAGTAGTGTTGTTCAGACTTTGAGGTACAACTCATACAACTCACCCACATCACATAATGGAGATGTATTTGCTCAGAAGAAGGATAGCTCAGGGTTCATGCTTGCTTGTTTAAAAAAAAAACACTAATAGAAGGCAAACAACTGGGATTGAATGCGAGACAATAAAAAATATTTACATGCCATATACACGCCTTTTTACCTTTATTCTAAGCATAAAGCCCCAGTGCAGAAAGGGACATTTTCCACTTTTGCTTGAGGATTGAATTTGATTTCCTACAAGCCAGAACAGATGAAGCTCTTTGGATTAGTGGTGAAACTGCACTACTACAGTCTTTTAGTCATACGAATGTTTTTCCATTCTGACCTGACATTATGGTGAATAATAAAACCAGTTTGCTGTACTAGAAAATGTAACACTAATCACTTCAAATGAAAGTATATATTAACACCGTTTGCAAATGAATTCCTATAACAGGGCGGTACGTATACACTGCTCCCTGTCTAATGTAATGTAATAGCACCTATAGAGCTCAAACCGGTCATGTCAGTTGTTTGTTACAGGGTGTACTGTAACCTACATAATGACAGACACATGTATGAAGGCAGTACAGTAGTCTCAGGAGGACTTCTGTCTCCTCATTTACATTTTATGGGAACAAGCGATCAAGACAATGATAATGAATGAATACATCCAGCTCCAGCGTTTGGTTGCTGAATCCTCAAAAAAAAGGAAATTGAGGAAATAAAACTAAATTTAGCACTGTTGTATTGTACGAAAAAATGTTTTTCTTTTTTTTTTACTTTTGCCAGTGATGCCAAAATTATACTAGTTGATTAAGGAGTGGAATGTTTTACTGCAAGAAAAGAATGTGTGGACCATTTCACAATTACAAATGCACATTCTTTAATCTGTACTTTGATACTTACCATTATCTTTTCTCATGATGTGAAATGTAGCAATGTGTTTGCAATTTCTGTCACATTGGAAATCTTAGAAAATCATTATATTGGGTATTGTGTTGAAACTGGTACATAAAACCTGTAATGAGGACAAATGAAAAGGATGATGAGAAATTACAAGTTTCTGGCCTTTTTTATCATTAACCTTTATTATTTTATACAAAATACAAAATTCTGAACAAGTGTCACAAATCTTCAGTTGACACTGGTTCAAAGAGTATTCCATCCCACATAATTCAGACAACATGTCAAAGATTTTGTCAACATCTTTCCCATCAGATGCATTCATTATATACATACATACATGTGTTACCTCTATGGAAGTAATACCCAGCACAAGTGTCAGCAGTCATGTTACAACCAGGATTGCGGTTTCCATTTAAACGCACTTAACCCCTCACTGTAATTTAAGAGAAGGGTAATCTATGGAGGGTTTCGTTTTCATGACAATTGGCATGAATATAAAACATCATCTGAACATGTCTTCTTTGAACACTGCTAGTGGTCTTATGTTGCTTTAAAAGCCCACTCACTGGACGTATTGCCAAACATTTATGACATCAACCTTGTTCTGTACATTGTCCAAACCTTAAAAAAAAAAAAAAACAGTTAAATATTTGTAACGTTACCTTGTGTTAAAACTAATAGGAAATGACAAGAAATTAAGAGACAGAGTGAGTGTGCATTCTGATCCAATGCCACAGTTGTGAAACAAGAACAAATTCGTAGTGAACTGACACACAAACAAAATGTAAGAGAACAAGTCAAATCAGTGATGAATGCATATTGTGAGCGGATATGTGTATCTGCATAAGGACAGACTATAGTCTATAGTTTTAGCTGCTGTTTTTCTCTTTAAGCAAAAATGTGGCTAATACAGTGGATGCCTTGTACTTGTATTAACACCTCTACAAACGAGCCGTGGACGGATGTTCTTCCAGAGAAAGTGGCAAATGGCACGATTTGTTGTATACGGGGTTAAAGGTGAGGCTTCTCACTGTTAACATATGGACTCTTCAAACTGGTTACCACTGTTAAGCATGTAATGGTTAAATTATTGAAAACTGGTCTTTCTGAGTCCGAGCAAAAACACGCAGGGCAAATGAAGAGCGAGAGCAATTCACCCCCGCAGTACAAGTCAGGTTTGGAGGAGCAGTTTTTGCTGAAAAATATCATGTTTGGAAGACATCTGCATGTTTACGCTGTTAAAATCACAAGAGCCACAGAATCCACAACGACACTGACATTTTTGTGAGAGGGAGATCTTAAGACTCCAAGTGGGGTTGCTGAAATTTTTTTTTTAAATCCAAAATTCCAGGTGAAATCTGGTCCTTTGATTATATTACACATATCTGGCTGTTGCCATGCAGTGATAAAATCAAGCAAATGAATCTGCAGATAAGGTGTTTCCTCAATCTTGCCTTCTCTTTTGTTCATTTCTTCTGTCTTGTTTACTGTATTTTTCCTTTCATTTGCAGAGGGGCTTCTTACACTCGAACAGTAGTGGGTAGACCTGCTCCACAGCATTGGCAACATTCTGCACATTTGGTCCTACATCAGTAGATAGGAGAGAGTGGGGTGGGTTGATTTAATTAGAACAAGTTTTGAGTACAATGCGATACAAAGAGCCCATAAACTATTTCATTCTTGAACAAAATTCCTTGAGGGATTGGGTTATTTACAAACGACTTTTTCTAGTTGTAAAAGACTATAAAAGTTTATTACAACAATGTGACCTCAATCCTTTAAGCTGTGTCCCCATGTGTGCGTGTGTACCTGTAACTGTGAGGCTGCCAGTGGAGAACACTTGTATAGTGGCCTTGAGATTTTTGATCCTGTATGTGGCAGCAGGATGGAGCTCTGGTTCATAACTAACACACACACACACACACACACACACACACACACACAAATACGGTTAAGTACAACAGAGACTTCCCCACACATCTGAAATCAAGTACATACAGTTTTGAGACAGTTTACATGATGCCATATGCTAGTACTCCACATGTTGTCATATAATTAAGTGAACCAGAGGATTACAATACCCACATCTTCCGTTTGCTCTACACTAGTGCACTGACAAGTGCTCTCACCACTAGAGGTCATTCTATACTAGCAAATACTGAATCACTAGTAAAATAAAGGAGAGAATTTAAACAGGGCTTTTGGCTTCATAATATATGTAATGCGGTGTGGCTCAAAATTGAATCATAATTAATGACAATGATGGGTAATTATGACAATGATCTTATCTCTTTAATGATTTATCCTTATATCCTTATCCTTACAATTTATAACTCAAAACTAATAAACCAAAGTAAGCTACAGGAAACAGCTAAAATCAGTGCAAAAAATGATTTCTTAACATCATAGGTCGGGACAATAACAATGAGGGTGATAGTGTTGATTTTAATTAATATCATGATAGTGGTTGTGATGAACAGGACTGTATTACCTGGCAATGGGTCGGTTGTTCTTAGTAAAGTCTATGAGGTGGACTGCAAAAGGCATGGAGCACACTGCCAGCACATTCACGACTTTGAAGGCTGAAAACCTCACCTGAACAGACAACACACACATGCAGACACTCACATGAATGTATTAATACACATGATACATACAATACTTTTAGCCCCCAAAATTATAGGAAAACTTTTTTTCACTTTTCCCAGTGTCGCCTTGTGGTAAAGACATAAATTGCAACCGGTGCTGTCAAGAAAAGCTAAACAGACAATTAAGGGCACAAGAATCATTTGCTGCATATTTTCCACTGTGTGAACAAACTGAGTATCAAGCTTATGTACTTGTTAGACATTCTTTTATGTTTGCTTATGGTGCTACTTGTAGGATATGTAGCTTTAGGGCTTTCTGTGTGAACTCTTAGTGGCAGTTAATTAACACCTTCTTTGTCATCATCATCGTGTATCATGTAGCACATGTTAATCTGAGAGCACAGTCTCGTATCTGTCCTTTGTTACCTGAATGGACATGGTTTAATTTTATTGTTAGTTAAATTTCTGCTTAATTGTTGTTGACTGTTTCACACTCAGGTAGGGGGTATTGCTACAGCCATTGGAATTTTATTTGAAGTGTTATGTAATTACTTATATTGTAGTTATTCAGGTTTCTGTAAGAAATGGTTGTTTGTTTGATTCGACTTATGCCTTTGATGTTCGCTCTATTGCAGACCACACACATGCACACATGCACTCCCTGCTGCCTCGACAACATCAAAATAAACATTAAAAAAGGACATCCCTTCTCTGGAGCCTGAACAGAAACTCAACCAGCAGTATTCAGAGGGCAAGAGAGAGAACTGACTCCACAATAGTCAATGGCATGGTTAGCCTCCTTTGAACTCAGCCCAGATACTGCAGAAACAGCGGTGATTCACTGGATAAAGCTTTAACTTAAGCAACTTCAAACCTCAGATAGCAGCCATTTTACATTGTAGAGCTACTTTACTTCAGTTTCAACCAGCAGTTTGACCAAGTTGCATGCTGCTGTTTTCTTTACAGTGAGGCATGAGACATGACCTGACTAAAGCAAATGTGCTTGGTCTAATGAAGCACAGAGGGGTATTCATTCATTAATGAACTGGTGACAGGTCTGTGCTTCCCTGGTACAAACTGAAGCTCTTGTAAAACTGTTTCAAAAAGAGTTTATGTCCACAATCTCTGCAATGACTACAGTGTGGAAGATGCTATGCTAACCTTTAGGTGTACTAACAAAACTATGACAATAAGACACATGTAAATCATTCACCTGAAAGTTAATGACAAACCACATGCTTGATCCCAGTGCTTTTGAATTAAATAAATGTTTACAGATTCATTCAATTAATAACATAATGTGTTTTTTTAGGTTTACATTTAGTGAATTGTGATACAGAATTTAAAGAAATGACAGATGTAGGATTTCCCCCTGAAAACGTTTCTGAAACACTTGAGAACATGAGCTGTAAAGGACAGTTCCAGTTTGATTTTTACTTCCATACAAGATTTTAGCATCAACTAGACGAACCAGAAATGCAATACCTGAACAGATATTATAATAGACCCTATATCTGCATCGAGAAGTAATCATGATGTTTCTGCATGTTTAAAAAAAAAACAACAAAAAAAACATTTTAGTACTGTTAAGCAACAGCTAGGAGATCATTCTCACCTTGAAGCCTAGTTTCTGCAGACAGCGTGCTAACCTGCGAGCACCCAGCTTTGCTTCATCCTCACTGAACAAAAGAAGAGAGCAGGAGTGAGAGACAGCAGCGGTATAGATACTGTATATGGTTTAGCATGCAAGAAATATAACACACAAACAGTAAGTGGCAACCTTTAGAGTGACTGTAGGTTCAGGGCCCCAATAACCATAGTCATCACTGTGCTAGTATACCACATATTAGCTGTATGACTTGTAGCAAATGTAATTACTATTTTTGATGTCAGCATTGTATCTATAAAATATGAGGCAAATGGTTATGTCACTGGCTTATAGCCAGTTAATGGGGGATCTCACTCAGTCAGCTAAAGTCAACATTACTACACCAACAATAGAGAAGCGGCCAAAAGCAGCCAACACTTCTCTAGTGGGAGAAAATTAATGGCCCTTTGGCAACCAGAACCCCCATTTACTGTGTCTCGTGAACTGTGTCTACCTTGTTGCTCCAGTGCAGATTATTTTCCCTGAGGACCAGATTGAGGCTGTTATCTTGGGTTTACGAAGCTTCATTAGGACTTTCTGAAAACAAAGAGAGGTTTAATTTCAACATGTCCTAATTTACATTCTTAAGATGAGCATAAACTTTTGATAATAAAGCCAGGTTATAAACATTTAAATATGTGGGCTTTCTCGAGTTTCTACAGGAAATAAATCTCTCCCGCTTCCCCAGACTTTAGCTTCCTTACCCCTACTTCCGGCTTATAGATGACATTGGTTCCCTCTAAGGCAATAGTGCGCAAGTTGAGATGGCACCTTGTCCTGAACGTGGCCACCACATTGGTGACAATGATATCAAGTGCCTCATCATTGCTGGAATCCATGAGGAAGTGTGCGGTGGAACAAGGGGACCACAGGGGCTTTCTCCTCACGCCGTCATCATCAGCACCACCATCACCATTTATGGACGGGCAGGGAGACAAGATTCACTAAAGAGCAAAAAATATTTTAGGAGTTAGAAATGCTAAACTTTAGACAAACTTTTTATTTTTCAGTCAGTATTTTTCACAGCTTTGCAGAAAAAACTATGTAATGCTCTGTCCCTTTTTAATAATATATTTTGCAAAAAGCCTCTGCTTTGTCTTTTCATGAGTCACATTGATACTTGCACATTCAGTGCAATCAACCAACACACAGACACTCCCTGTGTGTGGATATGTGCTAGTTAAAGCCTGAATGCTGCTATACTTACACCTGCATAAAAACGTTAAAATGCTAGGATGGGGGCTTGAAGCACCAGTTCATTTAGTTCTCCAGCTATGTGGGTTCCCTCTACTTGAAATGTTTGGAGTGGGGCTCAAAACACGAATCACACAGGCATCTGCAAGACATTAGAGAAATCATTTTAAACACTTCGGAGAATAAACTATATTTCTTTTTCAAAGAACCTCTTAGCTATTTTAACCGTATAAAAACGTTAGCTTACCCACTACTGACACTGCGTTAGCCTGATACGTTAGCTATTCTCTACCAAATCGACAAATAATACTCCAAAGGTGAAACTCTACATGTAAGGCATTTTTGACTGAAATACGTGAAAGCGTATGATATACGCCGTCGCAGGTTTATCTATGATGTAGGTTTATTTGCATTACAGGTGATGCATTGCTCATCTCAGTGCTGTATGTTACTGCAGAGTAACGCAACTGATAGACATTATTGTGAAAATGATGCTAGCTAATCTTGCCAGCACAACAAGCCGGCTGTCGTATGTATCACAAACTGAATCGTAACTGCATGGACTCAGTTCTAGTTGTTGTGGATAAAATTCTACAACAACGAACAGCTAAAAACAAAGAATAACGACAACTCACTACCACCCAGCTAATGTTGTGAATTAAGCTATCCGCTAGCTAGCAACAAAGAAAAGTGCACAGGCAGTATGAATGAAAAGTTGTTAGCTACGCTAGCTTAGCAGGTTTGCAGTCAAACGTTACACTGAGGACGAAGTAGTTCCACTGTTACCAGGTGGAACTGTATGTTAAATGTGTGTATCTGAAATGTTTGCTTTAATTCCTGGGCTACCTCTTCAGCAAGTTCACTGCTGTAACCCCCAAGTCACAAAACAGCCAGTTAACGGTAAAATGTGTGGACAAACCCCTTCCTCCGCGGACTAGCAAGCAAACCACATCCGCTTTTATCTTTCAAAATAAAATCATCTGGCCAGCAAACTTCAGAATAATGATAACTTCCTGTTACAACTTTGAAAACAACTATAAAGACCAACACATCTAAGCCAAAGCTTTAATACTACAAGATGTGCATATACCTGCAGATAGAGATCATTTAAATTGCAAAACAAGCGCAGAACAGCTGCACAAACATAAGCTACAGATGGAATTTAGCAGCTGAAGTATCCCAGGTGCAAGTTGTGATAAAAAAAAAAGTTAAAAATACATAAATCCATGTAAAAACTAAATTCAAACAATGAAAAATAGTACAGTCAGAAAAGAAAACACAGAGGTATAAACACATATGACAAAAGATTAATTAAGGATTAGAACAGATAAGAGCTTTGAGGAATCAAAGCCATACAAGTGCAGTGATTTTATGCATTTCTTTCTTCCTCTACAGACTTCAGTAAGTAATCTATTTCTGCTAAGGAATATTTATTTCATCCTTCTGTATGACTTATAAAGACTGCAGTCTTTTTGTCATTGTCCTGAAATTTCAAACTCAGATGAACAAGAGTTTTATCATGCTATTGATAAATTTACAAAGAAAACAGGCCTGATGTAAACGTTTAAAGTAGCTTGGAGAAGCATTTATAGATGCATTTTAGGCAAATATAATTAATGTAGGACTTTATTCCATCTTTGAAAAATGAAGTGGTTGCTCATTATTGCTAGCACATTTTTATATGTGCATTTGCTTTCAATATTAAAGGAGGTAACATTCCCTCTCTCTGGATTACATTCATTTAACAGCATTAAACCCAATGGCAGTCCTTTAATAACAGTTAAATATTATGGCACCGTAAATTAAAATTCACAATAAATTGTTCACTTGACAAATTACAACTTTTTCCAATCAAAGAGGTCCAGAACACAATTAATATTTGTGCCACGGCTATCTACCTAGAAGCAGCAACTAAGATGGTCTAAGGTTGGTATCTTGCACCACCATGTGGACAATGGCGGTTGTCTTGCTGGAAAGAAAACCATTTTTTTTATATATAATTTGAGGTAAGGTTCACTGTAAATCCCAATTCACTTACTCAAAATTTATCTCTTTTTATTCAACACAAACAAAATGTTGTGTCATAACTTTGTCATTTTATGTAAGATACAAATAACATTATATGTTGGAATTTTAAAGTCAGATCAACAATTTTTTTTTCATCATTCTGCTCAATCACACTTAACTCAAATATTTATTGGAAATGTATTAGTTTAGTACAGTACCATGAAAGTTATGAGTCTTACCTCTGCAACAATTCAAGAGTTGCCCCCAATCCTGGTAACTGATGTTGAGGCAGTAGTATGTTGCAAACATCAGTACAAGAACATTCCCAAAATGAAGTGTCCCGCTGTAAGGGGCGAACTCCTTACAGTACACAACAGAGGAAAATGTCACATTTTAGGTTATAAGAGCAGTCTAACATCATGGCTTACAATAAAAAGAAAACAGTCATATCCTTATAACATTCATATCCAACTTTTACCTTAACTTAATTTTCCACTTTTCAAAACTGTACTTAGGACTACTGTTGAAATTATGAAATACTAAAATGTTTGGTGCAGATTGTTTAGTTTAGTTTAGTTTAGTTTAGTTTAGTTTAGTTTAGTTTAGTTTAGTTTAGTTTGTTTTTACTGGTCACTGTCACATGGTCAATTATGCATTCAGTGAACACAACGGTGCATGGGGTGCTTGGAGGTTGATCAACTTCAGATGGCAGACACATTTCATCAACCGTCAGCTACATCCTGCCCTGGTTTTTATTGAAATGGTTCAAAAGCAACATAAGAAACCTGGGAGAGTCAGTGTCTAGATGCTCATCTTCTCATGGGACATGAAACAATTCTTTGACATTTACTTGACACAGATTCTCTGCCAACATTCATATACCTTTGAGTTATTTTAAGTGAACTATAATACATCTCAAACAGATATGGCCACTCCTTTCACATAACAGGGGTTTCCATTCCACTCAGCTCACTCCAACTCATGAGCTTGTTTTGAATGTTACTAAAACCCAACCTAAACTATATTATGGTACATGGTATTTTCTGTATGTTTTTTTTTGTCCTTGCTTGAAAAAAAGTCATAGTTTATTTGGTAACCACCACTAAGATATACTTTAATTGATCACATTATATTCTTTGTACATCTTCTCACACACTCTTCTGAGAAGCTTCAAGGCCTCTTACCCTGATATTATGGCTCAGAAGTGCCCATCTCCCCTTGTCCGCTATCATTGGTCACGGCACATGCCTGTCTTCAAGATAGAATTAGTCACAAAGGCAGTAACTAATAGCAGCCCTTTCTCTGACTGAAAGATACCTGTCATTGTTTTTTCGGGGTATGCTCAATGTCTTCACCCACACCTCATGGAGTGAAATCTGCACGGATCTTTGCAGGGAGACCTTCATTTTGTAGCCAGAAGGCTTACGAAAACAATCATAACCACTGACGCAGGCACAGATGCAGCAATATTCATAAGTCTGAATACTTTTATGAAAAATACCTTTTGATTTTTGTGATCTGTGGACCCTTACGGACTAAAGGAATGTAAATAATGGAGGAATGGACAGATAATTAGACATCTAGACTTACTAAAAGGTAAGGATCATCACCACCTTGCTGGTTTTGCTGGTAAACAATGCTGGTAGATATTAATAGCTAAATCATTTTTATGTGCTTATGGTTAGCGCATAATTAACTGAATATTTGAATTCTAGAGACTCTAACCGATCTAAAGAGGTATAGCATGCCTATATTGACAAAAGTTGAAGCATTTAGAACATTTCAGAACATGTTCAGAACCTTCTAACGGGCCATCCATGGGCCACCAGGCCCAATGAAGTTTATACATCCCCCTTGGGGAAATTCAAATAGTCCAGCAGTTTGCACATGAATGACAAAGTCACAAAGCATTGAACAATAAGTGTGTCTCAGCCAGGTTCATCACTTTTTTCGTGTCCCCTGTGAACACTTGGTTATTGCCTGTGCTACTTGCACCGTGTTTCTGTATTTGGTTGTCTTTTGAGTATTTGCAGCACGTTTATGTATTTGCTTGTGTGTATTTGCAGCACACCTGTTGTCAAACTGATAAAGATTTTTTCTGAATTTGCTTGTTTTGTCTATTTGCATGTGTTTTCTTAAGTTGCACTGTGTTGAGCTCTCAGGGCCACTGTATCTTTCACCTGAATGAGTAATAATGTACATATGCAGTAAGAGCTGCCATTCAGCGATGCTGCATACATAACAGTACAATCAATATACAGGATTATTACAGGATTGTGGCAGTTTTATGCTGAGACAGCTAAACATTTCTGTATTCATCATAACTTAATTTTTGTAATTATATGTTTTTGTTATGTAAAAAGGAAACACAATTTTTAAAATTTTACTGGACAAAAAAGTGAGTATTTAAAAACAGTGAGTGCATATTTTTACAACCACTTTTTAGTTCATTCAACCAAAATATAAGCAAGGTGCATGATGTAGTGTTGTTAATTGGCCACAAACTAATAAGGCTATATTGATTTTATAAATTCAAGTAAAATTAACTCAAAAATCAAAGATTGCTGACTTAACATAAAACAATTATGTCAAGTTCACGAGAGATGAGTGTTTGTATCAAGTGATCATTGTTTTTTATGTCATTTTAACAGTCTTTAACATTTGTGTGGACTTGAGCTAATAACTTAACTTTATTATTAAGCTTGTTATGAATTAACATAAAACTTATATATGTATATATACATATATATATATATATATATATATATATATATATATATAGTCCAAGTAAGGGTTAAAATGCTCATTGACTCCTGCCAAGATCTGTGTCCACAAATTTGTCTTTGCAGTCATCTCTCTCTGCCAATATTACACTTAACAGGCTTATGTTAACACCATTTCCAGACAACAATGTGTAACTTTTTTCAGTGTTTATGGTGTATTGACATTTAAGCTATGTGGATTAGTAACATCTCCAAGGAAAATGAGCACATCTGGTCAGTAAATGCTCCACAGGGAATTCTGGACAGACCACAAAAGAAGAGAAGGAGTAAAGTTTGGAGGCAGCCGGGAATGTTTGTGTTATCAATGAGAGAATTCACAGCCGCTCCTGTGGCTCATGAATGAATTTAGTGAATGGATGCTGTCCTGAAGTGTCTATGCATGGTCGCATCCTTTAGTGATTGTGACCTTAAGGCAGACTGATCATGACTTCATGAGCATTTGTGCTGGTTTGACATGTTGTTGAACTCATTTGATTTGTTCCACTTCGTGTAGTTATGCACAACACTGCATGAAACAGATAAGAATGACTTATAATCTTTATGAGATAAAGCTCTGCGTCTATGAGTAAGTCTATGTGTACACACATTCATGGGTTTATGTGCTAATATGAGTAACTTATTTCTGGCTTATCTTGCTTATTTCTTACTTCTTGTAAGTTTGTGCATTGTGTGCTGTAAGCCAGCTCTTC